TTGCTACCATCATACCTACAAGAGGGCTCTCGGAATAGACGTACCTCTGGATAGCTGCAGTTCAAAGACCTCATTCCTAGCTGTGGGGCGCTTCAGCCTGATCACCTCTCCATAGTTTGCTTGGAGTGACTTATCAGTATTCTCCAGTGTCTGGCCTCGTATTGACTTCATCTTTACGAGCATCTTATCGTCAGTTGGGTAAGAGTTGAATAGGATAAAGTCTGTGGCTTCGTATTTAGCGAGCGCATGTGCTGTGAAGTTCGGACTGGCCATGAGAATGGGACGAATGACTTTGTCCTCCTTTATCCCGTCCAGTACAAGAATGTTGCTGGACCCCTCACTCATGCGCAAGGCAACACGCATGTGCAGTAATGACTGGGCGTTCTTGAAATCGGTCAACGTCCTCACAGAGCCGTTCTTCACCACCTGATGTCATCCATCAATGGGAAACAAAGAAAGAGCAGCATGAACATGCTGGGTGAGGAAGAGAGACTGTAGAGCTGCGACAGCTACCACCAAGTAAAATCTGTCTGGAGAAGAGAATGTCACCAGGCAAGGGTTGCATGAACCGACCTCTTCCTCCCCATTCCTCTTACTTCACCTAGTTGTCCCAAAACTGGGAGGTTTCGGTCCTGGAGGTATCTTGTCACTCTCTACCTTCAAGGTGTGTTGTTCTACATATATACATGTATGCAATCACTGTGTACATACCTCCAGTCAATGCTTGCTATTGCTCTGTATGATGCCAGTGGTTGGACAGCTATCTAAAGAACTCCCTTGATATGACCCCTATATAGATTCTTGTCGTCTCCATACATATCAAGGAGGCCATAATGCCTTCTTGTAACGTTGAGCAACGTGGTAAAGGTGAATCGCCCCGAGCCAACTAACCTTGAACTCATAGTCCTTGTAGGTAGCTCCGACTGGCAACTCCAGGCTGAATGCCTGGCTGCTGGTCAGATTACGCGCTATCCGTATGACAACGTTGCAGTACAATTGCTTTTCGCAAGCCGCCGGAGAGTGAGCCAGCACCTCTGCAAAGGTAATACACAAAATACCATCGGATAGCCGCGGAGGAGAAAGGGGAAAAGAAGTCAGAAAGAAGAAGGAAATATCACAGACAGCACGGACGTCTCTTCACGCAGTGGAAACTGGAGGACAGTACAATCTCACATGTCCTTTATCGGGTGAAAGGTTATATTCGCCCTTTTGCGCTATACCATGTGCCTGCCTGGATGCTGACGGAGTGATAATTATCAAGAGTGAGTGTATACTACCTGGGGTTATGTACTCTTGGTGATAGTATTGGTCATGTGACTAAATTTGTGTAAAAAGTGACCCTGACATGTGGAAGGTTCTTAATTACTTGGCAGGCATCATGTGGCCCGTAGATGCAAGGATTGGGTGGAGTTGGAACCTATAGGCTATAGCTCTCCCATATCGTTTGTGGTAGATTTCAAACAACTCTGTAGTCTATACAATAGATCAGACTGTGTATATCTTACCCATTTCTTTGAGCACGGACGTTTCCAGCGAAGTGTACAGGAAGAGGTGTGCATGCCTCGGACGTATGACTTGATCGCGATTCATCGGGATGGGAGTGATAGTAACTTTGTTCTTGTTCAATGCTCGCTCCACTACCACCAACATATCCAGGTTCCTGGGCAAAGAGTGGTATGCTTCGCTCAGGTTACGATTCACAACACCTAAAAAACACAACAGAGAACAATAATGTACACAGATGAGGGAGGCATAAGTTATGACCTTTTAGCAAACCTAAACGGTTTTGGCAACTTAAACGTTTGGCTTTGGAACTGCAGCCCAGTAGTTAGTCTTCCTCATGGTGGCTCGAAAAAAAGAGTCTTTTACAATACTGACAATTATAAGCAAGATGTTGTTGTTGCTGCTGCTGCTGCTGCTGTTGTTGTTGTTGTTGTTGTTGTTGTTGTTGTTGTTGTTGTTGTTGTTGTTGTTGTTGTTGTTGTTGTTGTTGTTGTTGTTGTTGTTGTTGTTGTTGTTGTTGTTGTTGTTGTTGTTGTTGTTTTTGTTGTAGTAGTTTGCAAATTCACCATACGTACAGGGGAAATCTACCTCCTCACCAGGCTGTTACCAAGACGCACGCAGAATAATGAAGATGATGACATGCGTGAATGGAGGATAGGGGGGAGGGGGAGGGGGGAGAGAAAATTAGGAAGCTGAAAAAGTGGAAGAAAAGGTGGTTTAAAGAGTCGTCTACGTTAAGCACACAACACGGGGTGGGCACGTGCAATTCCTAAGGCAGGATCTGTGCCAGGCAGGGTGTGTGTTTTGCTTCTCCAATTTTATGCATATTACCACGGATGCTACCTCAAGAATATCCTGCAGGCATGTGGATCCTCTTGGGTTCGTACTGTGCTTCCACGAAGGCGCTATTCAAACCTGTCGTAACGTGTCAAGGATCGTATGTCAGTAATCTTCCATTAGCAGCACTCTTTCCAAATGCACTGTTCGCGGTACTCGCCCCAGACATTGCTATGCAAAGTATGCGGCGCGCGGCGCGAAAGCCAATAAAGCTAGAACAAAAATAACAAACCAGCTGTGGAATGTTAGAATGTCGGAGGTGTGGTGATTCTAACCTGAGAATCTCATCCTTCCTGTTATTCAGCCAACTATGCGGCTTGATCTTATACAGTGTACAACAGGCAGTCGTACTGCCAAGCTACTTGTTGTCTGTAGCTCATGCTAGTATTGCTACTGCTGATGCTGATGATCTACGTGAACGGCATATGCAGCAACTCCAGCAGTATTGTACTGATGTGTAAGACTACGTACGAACACTCGCCCAGAGGTACACACTACATATGCTGTAGAGCTGGTGTAGACTAGAACGTAGAGGAACAGGCACAGCATACAGACTCAGTGCTGGCTGGATGTTTCACACGTGTTCAACAAGGCCTTGCATCAGTTGCTACTACTTCACAGACAGTGCTCAGCTGCACAATTAACACACTGTCTATGATCCTGCACAGATGTGGTAGCATCAGCGACATAGCCCAGGGGAACGCCGTCCATGTCAGAACCTGGACTGACTGTGTGATTGAAGGAGCGCTATTTTGCCAGCGATTTGCGGTGGAAAGCAATCAATTCACGTGGAAATCAAGCAACTGATTTTCCGCATTGTACCGTGACAGGCTTCAGTAATCGGCAACTCACGGAACGCACCCTTCCTTGCCACCAAGTACTAGGCTCTATCTTGATCCGCCGAAGGAATCATTTAATCATTTTTATCTTGTAACCTGGTTCTGGACCTGGAAGGGAATGCTTTGAAGAACAAACTATGCATTTTGCGGTATTCGCAGAATATTCTCCGAGTTACGCTCATACATCGGACTACTAGTAAGTCTTTTTCATGATTGGCGTTGAGAATGGGGCTTGAATGTTGATGGACTTCGCGTTGATCCTTTCTGATTCCTTTCTTCCCTTCTCATTCCTTTTTCCTTTTGGATTATCTCCGTCTCCATTTCTTCACTGTCTTTTGGCACTGATGTGAGGTTTTCAACAAACTCTGATGACTAGGACGACTAGTGCACGAAGGCATACAATGAAAACCTTGGCAAATTCCGTTGTTGGGACGGAATATGCCAAGATTTTCATTGTGTGCCTTTGTGTACACCGCTCTGGCTGAATCAGGTATTGAGCACTTTCGCAGAACCTAAGCATACTGCCTCTGTGCTAGGGCTACTAGTAGATACCTTTTGTGCGTGGAGTAGATAATTTACTACTCTCAGGTAGCAACGTGCCACACTCAACAACAGCAACAGCACTTCATACTCACCCTATTTCGACTACATCTGTACTTGTGGTAACCTTGGTACCGAGCACTGAGCCTAATACTAGTATAATTGTTGAAATAATTACTGTCCAGCACATGCACATGTACAACATCTAACCGCGAAGTTCGGTCAACGAGTAACGTGACTTTCCTCCTGCCAACACATCCCGTGAGATTCTATAGCGCTGGCAAAGTTCTTTAGACATTGATAACAAGTGACTATAGCAGTGGGAGGGGCGATACAGTGTATTTTTCTGTCACGGGTTCACCTAGACAGCTGTCTTCCGGTTCATAAAGCCACTTCTTCATCTTTTAGAACGCTTCTTAGCGGAACCAGATCCGGCAAGCATTCCCTGTTGGGCTTGTAACTACTGCCGGTGAGTCCATAGCGGTGCGTGACCAGAAGTGTCAAAAGTGCGAGCGAGGGGGCTTGTAACTCGAGATCTGTCCACTGTCAGTGTCGAAAAGAGTTTCCAGAACGACCTAAGAATTTTCTGGTGTAGCTGGTGCATGTATGCGCGGTTGAAGACTGTTTTAGTTATACGCGAGCTGTATGAGCTGGCGCACGCGCGCGCACACACACACACACACACACACACACACACGTACACGCGCGCGCGCTCACACACGCACACAGTAGACTTAGGAGACGAAGTTCTGTAATGTGCACTGGTTTAGTCTCACGCCTTTTGAGCGGGGAACAGACTCGCCAACACGCCGGAGGAGTTGGAAGTGGCGAGGACAGCAACATCACGCATCATCAAAACTCCTAGCTAGAGATTTTCAAGCCAGCAGGAGTTTCATGCACTGTATATGCTTGTGTATATGCTTGTGTATGTGTGTGTGTATGCATTCGCTGTATATGTACGCATTCGCATGACTGTTGGAGACATGGAGCGGTGGGTACACGGGACTTCTTGTACACGTTTCTCCGTTGTAATTCACACTTGACGTGATGTGTGGCCGCTGGGGGTTAGATCTGTTAGAGTTTTGTGAATGAACATAGCTCGAGGCTGCGATAACAAACTCACCAATTCACTAATGAACAAGATTTCAGAACGAGTTTGATTCCGGATCTGAACGAGCGGCCGATTTGTAGGCCACCTGAACTTTACACGATTAGCATTGAACGATGCCACGTCAACCACACCAGTCTAACACTGGACATTGCAATCAGCTGGGTTCCATTCTTTACACTCTAAGGCTTAGTTCTCATCCACTACATTGAACGAGCTTTACTGATGTATCCTGACCTCACATTTCGCTGGTCAGTCCAATCATTAGACTGTGTTACTATCATTATTGCATGACTGCATTTTACTGCCAAATATGCTTCTGCTTAGCACATCACACTGTCGAGTGTACTAAATATCTCATGGCGTCGTCTACTGTCGTTTGCAGATGCGCATACTTCAGCATCTGAACGATCGTAATAATCAGTGGGAACTTCCGCTCCAAGCGGGCACACGCACGCACGCACACACACATACACACACACACACACACACACACACACACACACACACACACATCCAATAGTTTTTAGTTGTGGAAATGTCACAGTACGTGTTCATGAGCTGCTCACACTACGAGCACGGAAACCGTCCGTTCGTGATTCTGCAGCAATGGTCTGTGAAGACAACCTTTAACGCCAACATGGCACGGCTACGTTCTCAACAACGACAGAACATGAAACACTGACCCAGGTAGTCACCTGTTTCCCTACCTACACCCCATGCACTACATCGTCCGGTCAGGATCGCCAGTAATACAGTTACATGTATTTCTCAACCTCCCTATCACATACAGATACACCGTGGACAAGCTCAGGCGGAAGATGATGCTCAAAAATCGTTGTTGCTGCCATTAACAACTCCCGTTTCCCTTTTGTGCTTTGACGCGTGGGGTATGCGTAATACCAGCTAACGCGCATAGGGGTAGCTAACGTGGTCCTTGTACCTCGTTGAAGCCTGCTAGATACGCACTACCTAACTTTGGTGTGCTAAGCGGTCTATTCGTGAAGCTGCGGTCGCGACCTTCAAACTCCTGACGCATTTTGCCCGCACGCACCTCTAAGAATCATGCTGAGGTGCTCTCAAAGTCACATGGAGAGAGATAGCTATGCAGGCTGATAATACAGACACGCGTGGGCCAGTGCCAACATAGCTCTGGCGACTGTGGATCATCTCGCATTGCAAAGCCTTGGCAGTGACGTAGACGAGATTCCTTCGAGTTCCCGTCGCACGCTTCCTCCTCCTTCTTCGTGTCATGTGCTTGGTCTGTGGCACTCTGGTATTCCTTGGAACAGCGGCGGCATCACGTGGAGGAGCAGAGACGAATTATTGATGCAATTTGTTACGGTGCTACGACGCCATTACCATTTCTATTTTGGACGGGGACTATGTTAGAAACGTCAATGCTAGCTCACCGGGTTTGGGAAATCGTCATTCAGTCGAATCGAGTCGAGCGAGCTGTCGAGAGGCGGACTCATGCCCCTGTATGGCAACTCCCCAATTCTCATCACCAATACAGTCAATCATACAATCCCAACTATTCAGACCCATACTGGGCGATATAAATACACAACGTCAATGCCGGAATCCGTCCTTTCTAGTTTCTTCTCTGCTGTCTTAGTCATCTCGTGGCGACCAGTAGCAATGCACTGCTCCAACACTCACTGCTAACTGTGTGAATTCTGTACAACTGATATCCACATTGAAGGCTAGGACAGTAGGAGTATCATTCCTCATGCTACAGCACATGTTTCGAATGCACTGACACAGCAACGTTGCAACGTACACACACCTGCAAGCCGCAAAATTCAGGCTACGTCCAGGGTGGGGAAATGTCGGGAGAAGTTTTTGCCAAACTGCACGGCGCTGACTGACAAGTACAAATGTACACTAGCTCTTGTAGACCAACATCACAGTGTCTAGTCGAGCAGCAAGAGACACTTGAGAAGCGAATCATTACACAAACGGAGAAGGGCTACAGGGCTCACTGAGATTAAGACGTCTTGGGCGAAGGAATGCGTCATGCATGGCGCTGCTAACATGTTGTAGCTACACGAACCAACGACTAGATGACTTTCCCATCTTGAAATAAAAATACCACGTCAGATAGGTGATAGGATGCAGTGCTGGTATCGTTGGCATTGTTGCTGTGCATGCTACGTCACAGTACGTGATATAATACAATCGACTACGTGTACATGACTGTACAATGTCATGTACACTGTCATATCTATGTTGTAATACAAATGGGCGATGAAGAGGGCATCTCCTCAATTGACATCATACTAATATGGAGGCACGCCAAGCCATGGGGAAGCCAACCCGTACCCACACCACGCCACATGTAGAACGACGGAAATGAGTAAGCTTTAGCAATGCGTCGACCGCTCAGACGCAGATAATCACCATCATCACCATCACTCATCGTTATCTCTGAGCTCAGCGCTCTTCATGTTTGGGTAACTCGGTCCTATTGGCTTCTGGATCAATTTAGATAATAGATACTGGTTGGTTGTCCTGCGGACGCCGCACCAGCTCCTTCCCTGTAGCCATTGTCTGCGATGAAGCATTCGACTGCTCGTGCCCGTGGCTTTGTATTACAGCGACCCCCTTACAGTGCAACAAAGCAATTCTCTGAAGAATGGCCGCATTATCGCTGCTTTTCATATGTTCCTCTGAAAGCCGCTCTAATAACAGCCTGGAAACGGGGTACACGTGTATGCGAGAATTGACCTGTACCTCATCAACATGAAGGTCCGCCCCCCCCCCCCCCTCCTCCTCCGCTCATATGATCTCCGTAGGTCAGACGCTGGCTGGATTTCTCGTCAGACATATCTTTGTATGTGGCGGACTCGGGCTAGCCTCTTTTGTGCTGAATGTCTCATGAGGTACGCGTGCGCGCCCCTCATCCACACCATTGTCACCGCACACTGACAAAGATCACGATCTGAACAAGCCAGCTCTGATATCCTGTTTCAAACGCGACTGTTCCTGCGTGAAAACGAGGCATGCGTGGTACTGGTTATGAAAGAGAGCCGTGAACGATTGAGACACGATCACACCCGATCAGGAATTATCACCAGAACAAGACGGTCCTCTAGTCTAGATGCGAGTACGGAATGCAGCCGAAATGGACAAAACTCTGTTTTGTGCTCATCTTCAACCCTTGTCGGGACCCGAAACTAGCGATCTAATCTCAAATTTGCGGCTAGCAATTTAGTTATCAAGGAAAAGAAATCTATCTGAGAGTCCCTTTTTAGACGTGCGAGGAGGAAGGATTAGCCGGTATGCTAAAACGCCTTTACAAATGGCTAGAGGCTCGCCCCGGGCCACTAGCGGTGTCCTCTACAATACAACCGCGTGTTAAAACATATCGTTGTATGCGACTGTCGCAATGTCACCACATGACAAGTCACCACAAGACGACAAGAGTCGTATTTTGTACAGCACGCAAAGCGGAATACATATCTGAGCCAGATTTACGTACTGCAAATGGTTGGGGAGGAGAGCAGCATATGAACGATGAAGGAGAAATCCTGTCACCACAACTATTTCGCCAGACTTTGCTATGATTCGCTGGCACGCGCACACGGTGTCACATACACAAACTACGTGTGCCGTATCGCCATGGTGCATGTTATTGTGAGCTAGGAGCGATATGAAGCCCTTACAAGACCGATAACATCACGCCGATGTAACAGCTCTAGGGGAATATACCAGGTCACCAGATCTCAGTGTAAACCTTTCATAGCCCTAAAATAAAGGCTAAATCGCTGGTTCTAGATCATGGAATGTTTCCAAGCCTGGTGAGAGTGGAAACGCGCGATCGCCAGAAGAGCAAAACACATGTTTTCATCCACTATCTTCGTACCACAATATCATCTTTCACACGTCTACACACCTTCTAACAGCAGACGAAGACTGATTATGACAGATAAAATTATAACAAGTAATACCACCCTGTATCAACATTGCTGGTTGGATTTTACAAAACTTACCTAATGTTTTGTACTGTGGTCTTCCCGGCCTGATCTTGTTACGCCGCCTGAGGATTCGAGCACGGAACGAGTCGATAACACTCAGCGAGTCCACAGACACTAGTCGTGAGTGTGAGTAGGGAATATTGGAGACGAGCAACGTCTGCCTGGATGGACCGCCCGAGATGAGGGTGACGTTCAGCTGCGTGCGCCGCGCGAACACATTGAAAACGTACAAACGGACATCGCTACTATTCTTTCCAATGTCTGATCGACGTTCCAGTGATCTTGCTCGTCTAGACACGCTACGGGTGCTTCCAACATGGCGTGCATCCACCACAGCCGATGAGAGCTCATTATACACTGGTGAATCGGGGCTCACTCCGCTTTCAGCGCTAACACTCCAACCTTTCCCTTCCGACCGCTGTGGTGAGAAGGTGGCGGAGGAATGAACTATGGCGAACACTGCACATATCAGGACATGTACACCTAACCGAGCCTGACCTTTACAGCCAGATCTACACGCTCTTATTGTGTCGTCCATTGTACCAGCCTCCGACTGCACGAAGTGCAGTTCCGTTCTCCGCTTCACACGGGTCCCTCTCCCCAGTTTTCACCTTCTCCTTCTTCGGCCGCTTCGGCTACCCAGGATGATAGGACGATCACTGAATAAGCAAATCAGGCCACTAGCAGAGGACTGGGTTCGTCCTAGCGTGGCTCAGCCCCTTGCCCTCTGGAATCCTCGCACTGGTGATGATGCTGATGCCTCCACTGGCAACACTGGCAACACCTTTCTGCTGCTGCTGTCAAACGTCACTAAGTCAGGCGAGCGTTAACGAGCGTACACGCAATATTTTCTCGTGCACTTGGTTCGTCTAACCACGGCTTATCCAAGCGAGACTAGTTTCAACTTTACTGTTCACTCTCACTTACCGCTCTCTTTAGGACTGTTGACTTGCATGCACAACAAGGCGTAATACCATGTACAGCGTGACAGTATCTACTGCCTAAGTACTGGTGTCCATCAACAGTCAACAGTAACACCACTAGCAGACTGAATACCTCACACTGATGTCGACGCTCCCGTTTTCTGTCCCCTTCTTCAAGTTGTGGAGGCGTCTCTTGCGCGCTCCTAGCTGGGAAGGTCTTGCTTCCAACTGATCTTGGCTAAGCTTTGCAGAGCAGTGACTTCGTTGTGACTAGTGTCCAGCACAATTGTAGCTGATTTTGATATTGCCAGTGCTGGTACTGGTGCTGGTACTGTACTGTAGTGTAGGCTGGCTGGCGGCTAACCTAACCGTTGCTGTTGAGAGTGATGTCGTTGAGACTGTCAACGGGTGCTGCTCACTGATCATGCCTGTGACCATGCCAGCATAGCCGCGCTTCGAACTGCGAATGCCAATGGCCAACCGCCAGGCGAGGCAGCGGAGCAGGCTGCAGAAGAAGGGGACGCCCTAGGCCAGGGGTTCGATTTCAGAGCGTGGGTGCAGGGCATGTGTGTGTTGACATCCTATGCGATGCACTCGCCACGTCGCTGCAGTGTCCAGCTTGTTCATAATTCCCAACGTCCAGTTCAGAACTCGAATGACCACTCATAGACATGCACACGCAGTACACGCACATACATGCACCCGCACATGCACATGCACATACTCATACTCCTGTCCATCGCTGAAGCATGTACACACACACCACATACGCACACATACAAACACACATACACACGCGCACGCACATACCACACACACACGCAAACACTGGGCTGTGCAGTTCCCCTGGACCTTCGTTGTCCTGTCACTGAATCTGTTATGGGGTGTTGCACATTAGCAGGAGATAACCACTATTCGCCGGTGTTGGTTGATTCCCCACAACACTGCCATCATAGAGAGACAGCACAGGGGCATAGACACTGCTATGGCACTGCACTCATGAAGATGTTATGGACAACATCAGTGTGAAATGGGTTGAAGCTTCCCCACAGAATCCCTTACCCGTGTTTAGTAGTGGCATGACTGACCCCAACTAGCTGCAGCTATGCAGCAATACTATGTTCCTATGGCATGGATTCCGTGTGGATGTGCACATAGTGCGGAATAGAACCACTGTGGGTGTACTGATGAATGATGATGCACGATAGCTGCAGTACATTGAGCTGCATCGGCTACATTTATGACTGAGTACAGTGTATCATGGACTAAGGGGGGGGGGGGGGGGGGGGTTATGGTCAGATCGACCAAGACAGCACAGCACCAGCATGCTGCAGTAGCTGGAGCAGCATTTCTGGGATGGACTGGACCGGCAAGATGGCCATCGACCTGGACTGCCTTGTTCAGCGTGCAGGAAGGCAAGACCGGTGAAGCAGGCTTCCACAGTGTGCACTTCAAGTCGTCGCCGCAGCAAAATAGCTCAGAATATACAGTGCGAGTATGCGATTGAAGTAATGCCTGCGCACTATCATACTTGACTAGTTATCAGGTTGAACTACTGCCAATCCTGCTCTCGCTGACGATGTGGCTAATCTAAGGAGAATACAGGGTCGGGTCTCCATGCTAAAACCACATCCTGAGTGAGCAGTGTACACTGTACATGTTCGGGGGACTAATTGTGCGTTGCGGCTCTTATACAACATATTCCACCCGATACGTTATGTAAAATATGTCGAGCGCTGAGTCTACGCGGAATATCAAGCCTCGGTTTTGTTGAATAACCGCGGATAAGAGACAAAAAGCGGAAGCAAGTGTATTGCTGGGAGAATTCAGTTAGCGGTAGACTGTAGGGCGTCATGTTTAGACTCATTCGTTTGACACGCTGTTCCCAGTGCTAACGTTAACATCCACGGTGACATCGTGTTTTCGATCGGAGACAGCCGTGTGTGACCAATTGTTACACATGTAGTCATTATCCAACCATAGTTACATGTTGGCCTAACCTGCGATACCACTCTCTGACTTTCTCTCTCTCTCTTTCTTATTTACTAGTATTTAAGTTTTAGTTTGGAAAGCAATTCGCATGTGTTGAGTATGTGTAGTGAGAAGAGGATTACCTTGAATCCTTGTTCTGACAATGTACATGTAAATGTAAATGTACACGTCCTGCAGATACAATCATTCGTGTACCGTGCATTACTGTGCAGTGAACTGCTGTGCCATCATTCATGTACAGCACGGTATTCCCCTCCTCTAAGCACATGCATGCGATGCTATCATTGGGTACATGGAATTGTGTACTTCGTATTGCTAGCTTGATCTGTCACAGAGACAAGTACCGCAGACTTCATCCACCTTGTATCCCCCACTACCACCACTGCTGTTTTGCTGCCTTCACGATACATTCACATTTTAAGAAGGTTTGTGGCTTTTGCAAAGAAGAATGGAATCCGGTGTAATCGTCTCTACCGAGGTCCTGCATGGCTGCTGCAGTAGGCGGCACGCGCATCGACCCAGGGTGTCCCTGGTGAGTATGTCGCTCTCTTCCTACAATAGAAACAACTGCTCCTTGGCAGTCCAGCATGGCATGGGCAGCATGATTATGCACCAGCTGATTTCCCCCTACTAGCCTAGGAGCTGTGGCATCATTCATGATCCACGGCAAGAAGTCAGCAATGCCTGTACCTATGGTGAAGTAAAATATACATATAGATAACAGTCATACTAAACATAGCAATCCTAACAGAACATCTCGCTGCCCAGCTGTGCTGTACTGTCGGTGATGTCTTTTGAAATAATTGCAACTCTGCGGGGGCTAGTAGTTCATACACTGTTACGCGTGGGAGGCATACTTGCACACGCAACATGCTGTGGACTATACATGTACTGAAGTATGTAGTGTAGTCTGAGCTATCTTCTCCACCGCTAGTACATCGTACATGTACACGGTATTCCACCATGCACGAAGGGGCGACACAGGCATTGTCGTTTAAAACTCACAGTTCCTGGTCTCTTGCTCAACAATGATTGACCTTCTCCACCACCACGCTGAAAGGTCATGTACATGTATGTGTTTCTACCGTCTGGTTCCGTCTTGGCCGTAAGGCATACTGAGAGTGTTCGTAAAGGCATAATGAATATGAGAACATTATAATTATACTGGCTACCCCAGCAAGTGTAGGGTGTGCATAGATAACTGTCTTGGCCGCTTTAAACCAATGTACTCCGTGTGGTGTAGGCCAGGTGTGCATTGGTGGTCGATTCACATGGCTTCGCCAGTTGTGTGGATTAGACAGTTATCTGGCGCAAGTCTTGATCTGTCTCATTCACTTTGCTATAAGAGAAAATCTGTGGGTGCACATCCAGTGCATTTGCAGATTTGCGTGCTTCTCTTGCGACGGGCGTATACATGGTGCATGGTGTGTGCGTGTGGTGTTTGGTTGTGTGTGTGTGTGTGTGTGTGTGTGTGTGTGTGTGTGTGTGTGTGTGTGTGTGTGTGTGTGTGTGTGTGTGTGTGTGTGTGTGTGTGTGTGTGTGTGTGTGTGTGTGTGTGTGTGTGTGTGTGGCTATGCGGGGGCACCCTTTCGGGGTTGTGTAAAAAAATGAAAAAAAGAAGAAAAAATAGGGATTCACTGGCCAGAAAAAGCCACTTCAATCAGCTGTGTGGTGGATACCAGACTAAAATTAGTGGCCGTCAATTCGTCAGCCTTGCAAGCTGTTAAATGGTGTAATCCCAGCACAAGTTGCTATGTCTAACATAGCTGTTCGCTATCATCGCTTCCGCGATGGGCATGTCTGATGTGTGTGTGTGTGTGTGTGTGTGTGTGTGTGTGTGTGTGTGTGTGTGTGTTTGCGTTTTCATGTGGGCGGTGGTGACGGTGTGGCAGCGACGAGTCCGAGATGTACCCGGTGTTGGTTTTGAGTTCAGGCATTGTGATGGTGACAGCAACCTTTATCGCAAGCCTACCCGGACGGATCCGGTCGCCATTGCCACTGAATCACAGTTTTCAGACGACTGGGCACTTTTCGCATTAATAATCGCTCTTCATTGAGATATCTACCATTCTTTCTTCTTTCTCACTATTTTCTCCCCAACCCTCCTTCCCTGTAACACAATAACACATTCGCTGCCTTGTCACATTTGTGCTCGTTTGGATTAGCGAATTCAAATAAAGTATACAAACAAACAAAACGAATTTTTAGTATCTCCTTCTTTGACTCATAAAGCCTCGGCACGTATCTTTCCACCACATGATAAGAGCATATCTGTCACTATTATACTGGCCAGTGCTCTGTATCTGAAATGGCCAAGCGGGACAGGTGGAAGCTATTAGGACATATGTTACGCCAGCCAAGTGACATCCCTGCAAATGTTGCTCTCACTGCTTTCTGTACATATGCTACCAGTCAGCCCTTTCGAATAGGTGCACCCCGCTCTTGCCTCACCACAAGTCTCCAGCGAGACGTTCGCTTCACACCTATCTGCATTTTTAAGCCCAGCTACCTTCGTGATCTTGGCACCTATGCCCGCGACAGAAAACAATGGAGTAACATCTGCTCAGCCATTTAGTCTAGTACTGCTCTTCTTAAATTTGACCTTTATTACAAGACTCTTCTTTTCTTTTTCATTTCGTTCTCCCACTCTCACACAAACATGCTCACAGTTAATTCTGCCGTCGTGAGTCCCATTCGGGACGGATACGAGAATAAAATAAAAAAAAATAAATAAAAATTAATGATACTCCAACATCATTTTAAAAACGTTCAAACATTTTAACGATAGAATGGTCAATTGACCCGTGATCTATCCTAGAACGAAGTCTGGTTGTGTTGTTTTCAACACGCTGATTGAAAAGCTGCACTTTTCATCTACCGAACCCAAATTATCATGGTCATCTGTGTGTGAGATGATGTTGAGGAAATGGATGACTTCAACGCGCAATTCTCCCAGCGACAGTCGTATACGTAGCTATTCCATTCCGTATCACAGTTGGAGTGAAAGTCGTCCGGCGAGGCCTTGTCAAATGTAATTCCTGCGCAAAAGAAAGAGCAAAGCGGTGGAGTAGGCAGTGCACAAAGGAGGAATTTCGTTCCTGAATACTACAATTCTTTCTCGGTACCCATCCAATAATTAAAGAGACTTTCTACAAACCCATCAGTATATCCTTCAGCCCTACAACCCGAAAAAACGCTAAAGACCCCTCGGAAATGCTATGTTAGTGCTATAGGCTATAGTTTGTGTGTTTCTGAACATTCAAGTGATGCCAACGCGGATCCCGTGAATATAGTATTATTCCCGTAGCTATGCAGAAGACGTTACTTCAGTAACGTCTGGCGCTAGCCAGGGTCCACACAGCTATAATTTGGTATTTGTGTGTTTGTTTGTGTGTTTGTTTGTTTGTTCGTGTCACGCCTGGCGCTATCCGTATCTGACGGCAAAAAAGCATAGGATGTTATAAATTTTTCAATTCTCCTATTTTTCTTTCAGGCATATCCTGGGATTCGAACCCGCACTATCGCCCTACATGCATTCCCCCATACACTTCGCATTCATACCCATTCTTCCAAGTTGCTTCACGTTATTATCTTGCGTTTGAAAGCCCTATTTGAATATTGCGGGCAGCTGTATGTGGCCAGCTGTGTTTGATGGTACGGTACGGTACGGGAGACGGTGTCGTATTACCCTCGATCGTACCTGTCCCGTACCTATCCCCTACCATACCGTGCCATCAAAGACGGCTGGCCACAATGCATATTCAAATAGGGCTTTCAAATGCAAGATCACAATGTGAAACAACTTGGAAGAATTAGTATATATGCGAAGTGTATCGGGGGATGCATGCAGGGCGCGCGATAGTGCGGGTTCGAATCCCAGGTTATGTCTTAAAAAAAAGGATTTTTTAAAGAATTTATAACATCCCTATGCTTTTTTTGTCTAGGTCATCAAGGCAAAAAAGCATAGCGTAGGGCCCTGAGCTTCCAAGCTCTCTCGTTTAGTGCCATTGAATATTAACGTTCTTCAGAATTCCCAGACTCCATTGCAGCGTATTTCTTGCACTTGAAAATACCGCCATTCCGGCAACAGGCTCTCAGCTGCACCAAATAGAACTTTGCCAATATTTCGCCCATTGGGCATCATCAGGGCATTGAGGGCATTACATATTACTTGAAGTAATTGTAATTAAGAGTTGGTTAAATCACCTTGATGATCTAGAGGTAGATAGCCACTGAAGTTGTCGGGGGATGCTTGGGTGTTTCGATGAATGAGGCACACCTAACTACAGACACAGCAACCGATAACTAGTAACACATGAATCTACCGGAAAATGATCCATCCTCCCCCGACGTTTAGGAGCCGTATCTGACGCCTGATCATGGGGTGGTGGATCCCACGGAAGCAGAAAGGAGATTCTTGACCCACCCTGTGCGTGAAGCGGTGCAATTTTTTAAATTTATTGTTATCAGCAATTTTTAAACATGAATATCGACGGATTTGCCCCTTTTGTTCATGTCTTGCCCGGCTCTAGTAATGGATCATGAATCCCCCCAGTCCACATTCCTTCTCCTTTTCTCTCCGTTTTTCTTTCCCGGCTTTCAGTTGCCTCTTCCTTCCCTGCTCTGTTTTACTTTCTCTTTTCGTTCGTCTCTCTTAGTATTAGTACTTTGTACTGTTGAGGCAACAAACTGAAACACTAAAAACTAGGGGTCAAACGGGTGTACCGGGTACCTGGGTACCCGCCCGTTAATCTCAGGTACCGTTAGTAAAAGGGTACCCGTTTGTAAAAAAGAAAAGAAAAAAAAGGTGATCCTATCGTATTCCAAGACTCAAAAAAGGAGTGCGGATACTCTTTTCCTTTTTCCTGTGCATTCCCGCTTTCGACTTTATCAGGCAGGAGCAGGCTGAAAGACAGACTTAACAGTTGTTCTCTCCACTCTAGTGCAAGTAAAAATCCTCGTACTGGAGGTTTTTGATTGTGATGTGAGAAAATGCAAGACTTGAAACTCGTTCGAGGTGGCAGCTGAGTAACTAGAAAGTTACGATGGTTCTCCGACAGCGAACCTGCCACAGTACTTGATGAACTAGTGTCACCAGGCTGAGTGACCAGTCGGAGTGTCACAAACGGTGATGTCCGTAGAAGGTAGCTACATGTATGATATTGGTGTCGAGGTCCCAACGCATCCCAACACTCAACAGTATACTATCAGTTATACTTACATTACATTAATCATTATATTACAGAAACGGAAAGCCATCTTTGTCTCCAACCAAAGCAACAACTCGCGGAGCAACCAAAGAACAACTAAACTGAAAAGAAGAACCACATGGTTCAAAACCAATACACAAACCCGGCCCGTATCGCGTATGCCAGCGACATGTGCATGAAAACAAGTACAGAATCCAGAAAGGTAGCTTGCATGAAAAGTGCGTAGCGTTCACACTTGTGTGCTAACCCGCACTACAACTCGCGTACTATACAAGGGACTAGTACTGCGCAGTAGGCACGCATTCAAATAAGCTGTAGACATGCACTGCATAGGTCCTCGTACAAACTGTGCAGCGCTGCAAAGGTAGAATAAATAAAGATCAAACAAATATCAATGTGCAGGTCAGCGACATATGATGCTCATGGTTATAGTTTGTTCCTTCAATCGACGAGTTTGGTTTAGCTGAAAAGTAGTTCGAAATATTGCATACAAGATTACGGATTTGTGAAGATTCATTTCACGAGTTCAACAAGCTAGCACTAGCAGCTAGCTGGCCAGCAGCACATCAGCTGTGTCAGGCACGCCAGCTAGCTATGGGCGCGAACATCTTCTGAATGCAACGAGTACCAGTTCTCTGCGAACATAGCAAATAGGATTGCGCGAGATCACGAAAGTTTTGCTAAACCACTCTGTCCTTGCATGGCTTGAATCACATCGATCTGCAGTTGATTTGAGTACATGTATCAAAATACATGTAGCTTGTAGGACCATCTACATGTACGATTGTAAGTTACTGCCTGTGAAGTTATGTACATGGGCAAATGCACGGATGACATTCATTTGGAATAGGGCTAGGCGGATAATGCTCGCCGAAATCCCTCATTCTGCTTTTCGGTCTGCTCAATATTCTGCTCATGAAAGTGCATTTTCTGCTGAAATTTCTGCTGAAATCCAGTCGCCAGAATGTGCACTCGTACCAACCTCTGGGACTATGGTGAAGTCATCATTGATATACCGGATCAACACAGCTAGCGCCTCCCCTTGATACGTACTTCCGTCGAAAATCACGGTCAGAGGAGGATGGTTTTGCAACTCGGACTTCAGAGTGGCCACTTCCATTTCATGGATGAAGGGTATGTACGACCGAAGATGGGATGCATCCGTCAGGGGCACTGAGCCCTCTTCCAACAGTGGTCGGAGATACGACATCTTTGCTAGTGGTATGCCAGCCTTCAGCAGCACAGACACAGCCTGAATTCGGGCCAGAGAATGGGTGGGATCGACTGCTGGAGTCAAGCCAGTACCACCGAGCACGCTGGCATGTCGCTTCTGGTATTTCTCCCAAGACTCCAGCACCTTCTCCTGGCGCAGCACCTGGGCCTGGCGCTCTTCCTTCCCACGAAAGTGGCGATCTGATTTCAGGTGGTCCTCCACAATGCTCTTTTTGAGCGAGAGGACCGTGTGGCAGGCCTGACAGTACAGCTGCTTATTCGAAACTGTTAGCATCTCGTTCGGAAATTCAGAAAGCCGCTTCTCTGGCTTCACCTTCACCAGCCTGGTGCTCCCACCATGAGCAACCTTGGTCTTCTTGGACGCCGCTTCGGACTTTTCAGCAGAAGTCCGTTGGAGGGAGCGCTTCCTGGCAATCGGGGCTTCCTGTGCCTGCTGCAAAGACGACACGATGTCATCCTCATCATCCAGAATATCGACATCAGAATAGTCTGACACGTCCCGTGCTCTATCTCGACAGTCGAACTCCATACTAGTAGCTCGAATGATGCAGAGCCACCAGCATAAATGTTATCCAACCAAAAACAAACATTCACAAGCGACTATGCCAACAACAAAGCGAGGATGAAAAAGAACACATGTGGCCGGCGCAGGCGCACTTCAGATGAAGGCTAGCCACACTACATAATATGGCCCAGTTGCGCTTGCAGCGATTTTCGACCTTCGTTGCAAAATGCTTGTTTTGCGAACATTTTCAAGTCTGACTTCACTGGTGTCGTGATCCACGGAATACCCGTCCGCGGCCCGGCGTGCGCAGCAAAAGATGATTTGATTTGAATCTTTTCACACAGCGGGCTTTTTCAGCGAAGGTCGAACATCGCTGCAACTGGGCCATATTATGTAGATCTACGACTCGTAGACTTCTGCCACTGGCCTGCCATTCAAGGCTGCTACCTTCCGCAAAGTAACAGTTCCGGCCACATTTGGTGGATGGATGGACTGCGTGTCGAAGAACGGGGCAAATCTGCTGCAAAAGCAGAACGCGTTAACGTCGCACGCCAATTCCGTGGTAACTGTCATTTGACATGGCAGAGAATGCTTTTTCAACCCCCGTTCTGCCGAAATATGCTTGTTGTGTTCACTACTAACACCTCAAAAGTTTCAGGATCGCACAGACGCCACAAGACAAAAGGTCACGTAATTCTTTACGGACTATAATGAATGAACAGTAGAATACATTGAGAAGAAGAGACTGGAAAAATACGAACTACATCGGAAAGAGAACTCTAAAACACTAAAGAAAAACAAACCACAGCATCAAGGAAAAGAACAACGCATGAGGGGTAAAGCGCTGGCCAGCCACAACGTGCGTCCAACTTTGGCATGAGCGTACAGAAGAGCGTACAGCGCTCGGAAAGCGGAAGCTAAATTTGGCAAAGCGACAGCAATAGTACGGCGCGAGGCACATAAGCAGTACGAGGCGAGGCACGTATACGCGTGTGCGGCAAACATTACACACCATGTACCATATATGTATGAACAGCGCGGGGCGCATGCTAACTCATTCAACATCAGTGCGCGGCGCAGGCATCTAGCT